GTATAGTTGTCTCCAATTTGGACAGTCTTTCCGAGAAGTTGTCTAATATTACAGACATTTGTCGCGTCTGTAAATCACTCTTATTGAGCAGCTCTTTGAATAAATCCAAACTTTTGATGGCTTTGTCTAACTTCTCGCTGTTTTCCTCCATTTTCAACAAATGGTCGCTCACTTGGATTGTATTCACGCAGACATAGACATAGACCTCACGTGCAACAGATCCAGTGTGTGTCCAGTGGGTAGGCGTCAACACTACCACATCAACAGTCACTGTCTGTCAGTGTTTACAAACAAACCCAACACTCACTGTGAGTGCAAGTGATGGCATGTATGAGTGGCCCCACATTTGCAACCCAATTGGCAATGCATTGAAATGAATGCAAAATATGACTAAAACTCATATTTAATGCTATATTTGACGTCACTTGACATCTCATGCATTGATTTCCTATAATTTAGATCTCATTTGAATCCAATTGTAGTTTACATGTAAACCACTGGTCATTGCATGTGATTGACTGAGCCATACATCGGACAACACGTGAGTGACTACATGTGTGAATGAATTTTCAATATAATACACATACAACTGAATGGAGTGAATGACCATGGTGTTTTGGGTGAACTGCTAACCTTACCATGAGTTTGACACTTTGCAAATATACAACACTTGATGCAAATGATTGATGAATATTGATATAATATAGCGGACAGTGTAGGACAGTGTGTGAGATGTCGTACCCTCCATACTAATTTGTACTATTAATACAGTATTACCTTATTTATTAGACATTTATATCTCTAAACCCAATCAATTTAGACCAATTTAAATTAATTTAAATTTTAAACCTATGGTATCTATTATAAATGCCTTATCTTATATAAGTTATATATTTGATGCACTTATTCTACATCAATTGAAATTCTCCATTTAAATGTATTATAATATGATATACAAAGTATAATAAATTATTATTAATAATGTACAGAATATATAATAATGTGTAGTAATGTTTGTAGTATTAGTGTAGTGTGTAGTATAAAAAGAGTATATCTTAAACAATGTAAGAAACTATTAATATAGCATGGTCCTATTATACTTACTAGTATCACTGCAAGGAATATGTTTTCAAAGTTTTAATTTTTCATTTCTAATACAAAAAAGTTATTTAATGAGTAGAGTACGGATGTAGATACTGTACTGTATGAGTGAACACCTAATATAATATATAATGAAAAGTTTACACCTATTGCATGGGATGTGAACATTTCCCAAAGTAGTTCACAAACTTGACAATTACTTCACTTTTCTCTTTATGTTTATTGTTTAATATATCTGACAGAAAGTGGAGAGAGAGAGAGAGAGAGAGAGAGAGAGAGAGAGAGAGAGTAAAACAATTGGTATTTAATTCCTATATTTAGTGATTTGAATTGAAAATAGTTTAAGAATCGGTTGAATGCTTTTATTATTAAGTTAATACAATATACTGTATTGCCCTTATTTTGTGATTTACTTTTATTTTAATAATACACTTTTAAATACTAGTTTGTAGTTTAGTCCATAAATCATAATATAGTACGAATACAATATAATACAATGAATTACAAAAATAAAGTTGAAATGATTTTCAAAACAAATTAGCTTAAATTTATTTAACAATAGGATTTATTTACTTATTTTAGTTATGAAATGCAAGCATATCCCAAATAAATAATTTTACTTTATATCAATTCCAGTAATTTTAAAATCTATTAAATTTGAACAGTATTTACATAGTATTTACATTTTACAATATTTATGAAATATAAGTGCAAAAATAAATTTAATGAGAAAAACTTTTTTAGTAGTTATATATAAGGTTAAATTCAATTGAATCGAATTGTTTGGCTGTTATACTCCAGTAATCATTGAAAATCAAATTGATGTCAAGTTTTTACTTTATGAAATGTAAATTTATATATTTTTGGTAACATTTTTCCATTCAGTGATTATAACACAAACCTGTAATTCATGAGAACTTAAGTTATTTAACGTTTTACGGAATTCCCAGCACTTAATGCTTAATGTTTTTCAATATTTGATGGCAAATGCAGCCAAACCAGGGAACGAGAGTACTGTCGAGTACTTTAAGTATACTATAGCTGTTTTGTGGGGAAATTGTTGGGAAAAACTTTCACTTATTATGGTTTAAACACTGAATTACCACAATCATCAATCATAACAAATATTACAAACATATAAAACATATTAATGTTAATATACTGTAAACAATTCTTTACAGGTTTGTAACAAGTTATAAATTTTTATCGGTATACACACTAATATAATATTAGAAGAATTTTATTAACAAATAAACTAGTATATTTTAGAAAACTTAATACAGATATTAATATAAATATGTTTAGGAACAATGAATTTAGATTACAATAAGATGGCTATTACTGAAACTAATAATTGATTGGTTTTGTAACTTTAGGAATAACATTAGGAAAGTCATCAGATTTAATGAATGGCTTCTTATAATTACTATATTTTTCTGTGAAAAATATTTCATTACTTTCATTATTTAAATCAATTTCTTCTATAGTAAAGGAAATATTATTGAAATGCATTTATTGATAGGAATACTAAAGATTATCATAATATTAAATCAATTTATGATTCAAACCTATGTTATCATCAAAACCAATGGCACCTAATATCTTGGTGTTTAATACCTCATCGGATCTCTCATTATTGTGGATATGGTTTATATTGACAACAAAAGGGCTGTCATCGGTGCCTAAAGACCTCCTTTTATGAAAAAAAATTTTTATTTTAAAACAATTAGATATTTATTAAAATATTATATAATTTATTTAATTAATAACTGATTTAGACTATGAATGAATGCCAACCATTTAGCAGTTTGTTGCAATTGCTTGCTATTAGTAGTGGAATAGTTGTGAGTACTTTCCCTTTGCGAGTGATGACCCTTTCCAATGAAATTACCTCTTTTTAGTGCTTCTGAATTGTTATTGAAATGGAAATCCGGGGATTGACTCGACTCTGGAGGTGAAGGAAAGGACAAATGTCTCGAAGACAAGCTATGGGTGCAAAGAGGAGCTAATGATCTTTAGTGATGCAAATGAGTGTCACTTACGTAATGAGTCTCTCATTCACTCTATTGTGAACTGATTTGGAGACTGAGTTGTAGTCCAACAGAATATTTTCGTCCATTGAGGGCACCGATAGTGACCGTGACCTCAGACTCTGTGCTGAAGGTGTTTGCACTGCAACTCGAGGGATACAAAGGAACTGATCACTCGTTTTGCTGTTCACTGAACTCTTCTCCAAATTATTTATTTCATCAATTCGTGTGTTATTTATATTAAAAGAGTAACACATTTGTGGGGTTTCTTCTTATAAAGAATATATATTTTTAATTAAATAAATTATTATTATATTTTAAAATAATTTTATTACCAATTTTATGGTTATTCACTAATTTTCTAGCATTTAATCTGACAATAGGCGCACGAATTGGTTCTTCAACTTTGTTGGGAAACCCTTTTCTCATTTCAAAACAATAATAACAATAAGTTTCTAATCTTTAAAACTACTTTCTAAGATTTTGTTTCTAGCATTTAATCTGACAATAGGCGCACGAATTGGTTCTTCAACTTTGTTGGGAAACCCTTTTCTCATTTCAAAACAATAATAACAATAAGTTTCTAATCTTTAAAACTACTTTCTAAGATTTTGCGAAACTGTTTTGTGCTATTATGATAGATCTATGATACAGTATATGATTAAATTGTTTAGACACCGATTTGTTGTTCAATGTTTCTGTAAGACTTTGCGTTTCCATAGTATTTAAGATTAATTCTCAATTCATTATTTTGAAAGTCTCTAAAAAATCAATGTTATTTACAAGCATTTAATATATTCTCACAATATAATTCATTTGTATGTTTAGTTTCTATCCTAGTCTAATTTATATTTCAACGGATAGTTTTAAAATTCTAATTTTATTTAAAGTTACTACGATTTTTATAAAGTGAAAAATGTTCAACATAAAATAACCTTGCAAAGTATTATTAAATAAAAGTTCTTTGATAAAAAAAACCACGATAAATTAGGTGTTATGATGTTTCATTCATCATTTTAAAAACTTCATTAGAAATGTGAATTTAACGTGTTTTACTTAAGAATATATACTGTATATCATAGAATTAGTGTCAGAACTATAAAACCTAACAGCACCCACACCTACTAACTTATATACCTGAGTTTTATTAAATGAAAGCTTATAAGTTATACACATAAGTAATTTGTTAATAATTTATAAATTTGTAATTTGTTAATTTAATGTTTTCTATAATTTTAATTGGATCTATATCTAACTATTCCGTTGTTTGTTTGTTTCACATTTATTTTTACCATTTGAACCATATGGTACAAAGTAATTAGAATCCAATATACAGTAAATGATAGTTTGAATTATCAAACAATTATAAAAAATGAGATATTTTCTAAATATAGTACTACTATTACATTTTAAGTATTTTTAATTTAAATTTTATAAATTAAAGAAAGTTAAATAACTCGTAAATTCTTTTGATCACTTAATATTTATTATAAGTTATTTAATTAAAATGCATATTAAATATCAACACTGGTTTATACCTTTAAGTACAGTTAGCGAAAGTTTATTTATCAAATGCTTTACTCACTTGTCAGTAGTAAACCATTTATAATTAAACGTTTAATTTATATAATCGAAACTTATAGACTGTACAGTGATTATAGTTTTGAAAACAATTTTTTTGTATTTGCAAATCGGTAATGTGAGCCAGAACACGCAAAAATCAAATTGATAGTACTGTACTGTATATCAATTTTCAATTATCCTATATAATTTAAAACTCAAAATTTGTATTTAATACAGAATGTATAAGTAATAATACAAAATAGTTTTTGTAAAATAGTTTTATTATTAGTTGTAATTTCCACTTGGATTCAAAACAATTGCAAATTAAACAGATAAATGGAAAGTTGGATAATTATAAAAATAAGTTAAATTTGAAGAATTAAGCGGTCGAGTCAAAGAATGAATCGATTAATAAGGCAACCCTTTCCGGAGTATATTTGATATATTTATCCAAATTCTTTGTGAAATTCATGTTAACGTATCTATAAATTGTTTATATAATCAGAAAAATTATTAATTAACAGAATTAACAAAGGAAACACTTACTTATCAAAAAAGAGTCTATATTTGGGAATAATATAGTCTTTATTTTCTTGTTTCAAAGTTTCTCTCAGTTCTAAGTCTGGGATCGCAAACGAAGTTTGAATTCTTTGTATTTCTTCGATCTCTTTATTGAAACCCTATTAGAAGTAATAAATAATAATGTTTTTATAAATGAAGACAACTTGCTATCAAACAAAACAATAATTTACAGCAAATTTATCTTTAATATTTTGGCGGTCTTTGTCTTTGAGTCTCATATTCGCCATATTATTCATTTCGGGTAAAGTTCTCTGTTGTGAAAAGGGTTTATCCATTTCCAACACATAATGCAGAACTCGACTCCAGCTCTGAGAATAGATTCTCTTCGAGTCCAACATCTGTTCCTCGTATACGGACTCAATCTCTCGGTTATACATGTGAACGATATTCAGAAGATTGGATTTCCTCAGCGTCTGATCCAAACAAATGATAATCTCATATATAATACATAACTATTAAGTATAAGAGTTAGTCTAACCTTAAGAATATAATGAGTGTTATTGAGTTTGAAAATAGCCTTCAAGTGAGGATCGCTGTAAAATTCACTCTTGTTTTGAAGGGTTAGTCCCAGGGATGCGAGCACTCGAGTTATATACTGTGCGAACGCCAGCCTATTCTTGTCCGAGGAATTCTCAAGAGATTGTATATCTGTTACTGTGATCACGCGCGACAAGAATAGGTCTATAAGTTCATTAACCTGCTACTTATAGTACTGTAATGAGCACTCGAGCACTTGACAAGGCAGAAAACCGTGAAAGCACACCTGTAGTGAAAACTACATAAGATATTTGAGAAGCTCACTTCGGGAAATTGTGGTCTGGAGTGCGACCACTAATCCCTGAAATTTGGACTGAACCTCAAGATTGCATCCGTCAAAGAGTAGATCAAAGTTATGTCTCATCGATGCCTGATGTCTAAGGATTGGGAACAAACAGAGCGCTGAAGGGAAGTCTTGACGAGCGATACACTTCTTAACCCTATTGGCCAACAGCTCTCCCTCTCCGACAACACTGTCGAGAGACGTGTAAACCAAACGACTAAAGATAGGTCTTTGATGTTCTAAACGAATGATTCCATTCATGAGTTTGAGTTCGCTTTGCATCAGTTTGTAGAGAGCGGTGTGTGTGCACTCCATAGGGTGCTAGAGCGCGAGTGACTAGCTGTCGAGCAGAAACGGGAGTTGATACCAAACTAACCTAAATAACGGGTTTTGTAGCGGGCCATAATGTAGAACTTCAAAGGAGTAGTGCGCCTGTTGTATACTCTTAGGTGTGCGCCGAACAGCACTCGACTCTTTCATCTGACCGGTAATACTCTTGCGACCCATGGCTGGAGAGCTGTGACTCATAGGCTGACCACTCAGTTGTATTCCACCGCTGCATGACTTCTGGTGATCTCGAAGACCTTGTAATGTAAACTTCTCATGAAGACTCGCCTCCAATCGCATTTGACATTACTTCAGTAGCAAAAACAATTGTGTGTCGGTAAGTCGGTTAACAAAGTTGAGCAGGAAGCGAAAGAGACTACTTACAGTACTTACGCAACCAATTGATAGTTCATATGAAAAGTGGACAACAAGTATAGTATGAGTACATAAAGTGTAACTTATATCCAATGCTAAGTCAAATACCCGGCAACTGCTCTAAAATGGTTTTGTCGGCCTCTCCCGTGTCCTGACTGTCCTCCTCGTGAACCAAATCATAGATAAGAATCGGAGGAACGGCTACACTATGTCTGGACAGCAATTGTCTGAATTCCCTTTCGATACAATTGCCTCCCTTTTCATACAATGCACTCTAAGAACAACAGATTCAGTGATTGTCCAACTGATCCCATAATGGATTCAATGCTCACCACATTCATGAGTTCAGGACTCTCGGGGTTATTGAGTTCGAAGTAATCAATGGCTTCTTTGAGTCGATCCAAGTTCTTGAGGTAAGTCTCGAGCGAGTCGTTGGGTCCGGTGGTGATGATGGTGTCCACCTCATTGGCCACTGTATAGAATTTGATGACATAATCGAGTCGTTCCAGAGTCGAGACAATGTTTTGCTGAATTGTCTGCAGATTTCCCGTCTCTCTATACACGGGTTGTATAGTTGTCTCCAATTTGGACAGTCTTTCCGAGAAGTTGTCTAATATTACAGACATTTGTCGCGTCTGTAAATCACTCTTATTGAGCAGCTCTTTGAATAAATCCAAACTTTTGATGGCTTTGTCCAACTTCTCGCTGTTTTCCTCCATTTTTAACAAATGGTCGCTCACTTGGATTGTATGCACGCAGACATAGACATAGACCTCACGTGCAACAGATCCAGTGTGTGTCCAGTGGGTAGGCGTCAACACTACCACATCAACAGTCACTGTCTGTCAGTGTTTACAAACAAACTCACTGTCAGTGCGAGTGATGGCATGTATGAGTGGCCCCACAATTGCAACCCAATTGGCAATGCATTGAAATGAATGCAAAATATGACTAAAACTCACATTTAATGCTATATTTGACGTCACTTTACATCTCATGCATTGATTTCCTATAATTTAGATCTCATTTGAATCCAATTGTAGTTTACATGTAAACCACTGGTCATTGCATGTGATTCACTGAGCCATACATCGGACAACACGTGAGTGACTGCATGTGTCAACGAATTTTCAATATAATACACATACAACTGAATGGAGTGAATGACCATGGTGTTTTGGGTCAACTGCTAACCTTACCATGAGTTTGACACTTTGCAAATATACAACACTTGATGCAAATGATTGATGAATATTGATATAATATAGCGGACAGTGTAGGACAGTGTGTGAGATGTCGTACCCTCCATACCCACAACCGATCAACACTCAGCCCCAGTCGGGAGCGCCTCCTTATATGGGATATCCCCCTCCAAACACTCCCATGTATGACAAGTCTTGTCAAATATGTTTGTTTCAGTGGTTTAGTTATACTGTATTACCATATGATTGAAGGTATGGTGCGGGAGGTCCTCCGGGTTATCCTATGCCACCCGAACAACAAGGTTTCCCGATGCAGAACATGGGTTATCCGCCACCCGTCGCACCCCCTTATACACAGCCTATGATGTCTCAACCGACAGCCCCTTCCGGTAAAAACTAGACTTATAAATTGCTTCAAATGTTATCAAAAGTGTTGTCATTCAGAGCAATGGATGAATGTTCCGATCGGTATCCCTAACTGTCCCCCGGGTCTCGAATACCTGACACAAGTGGACCAGCTTTTAGTCCATCAAAAGGTTGAATTACTCGAAGGTTTGCTTTTAGTTGTTAAACACATTCAGTACAGAACAGTACTGTACTGTACTGTACTATACTGTACTGGTACATTTATGTGATTGTAACTGTCCATCAAATATGATAGCATTCGTGGGTTTCGAAAGCGCTAACAAGTATTCAATTAAGAATAGTTTGGGACAAAAAGTGTATCACGCGGTCGAAGGTCTGTATCTTATTGTCTATATTTAGTGAACCAGTCTTGATGTTTGCAATGATTGAACCAATCAGACAACGACTGCTGCACCCGGAACTGTTGCGGACCCATTCGCCCCTTTGATATGAAAATTCTGGACAACAATCAACAGGAAGTCATTCATTTATATCGTCCTCTGCGGTGTGACTCATGTCTGTGTCCGTGTCTGCTTCAGGTTTGAACAAATCCAATGGTTATTTAAGTGTCATATGATTGTCATATGGCTTTTGAATTGATAGCAAATGGAGGTGACGGCACCGCCCGGCAATATCATTGGTTACGTCACTCAGGAGTGGAGTATTTGTGTCCCAAAGTTCAGAGTAGAGGACGCTTCGGGTGAATGTGTTCTTAGAATTGAAGGCAATTTTATTGAATTTATTAAATTCACTACAATTTATTGACACACTATTGATATTTTAGGTCCTGTTTGTACTTATGGTGTTTGCGGTGACATTGAATTCCAAGTGTTGTCAAGGGATGGGTCAGTAGCCGTCGGCAAAATCACAAAGCAGTGGACGGGACTCATCAGAGAGGCCTTCACTGACGCCGGTATTATTGTTAATGTCTTTTGCTGTCATTATATAATGAATTTGCAAAATACCGCTCGTTTTCAATGTCAGATCACTTCGGGATATCCTTTCCAATGGATTTGGACGTCAATATCAAAGCTGTTCTATTGGGCGCCTGTTTTCTAATCGTAAGTTTCTAATCAAATATTATTTCATATTTGAGACTTATAGCCATATTATGGCAATTTTGCTTTCATTATCATATATAGAGTTTTATGTTAAAAGAGTGTTAATTTAACACTGTTAAAGAGCTTGCACGGTAACTTATTCAAATCAATGCATACTCAATTTACAAATCCTTCTCTCTCTCTCTCTCTCTCACTCACTCACTCACTCACTCACTCATTCTCACTCTGTATTACATTAAATGGGTTATTCAAATAACTCTTGACCGTAATGATTTACCTTGCTCGATTTTCTAAAGGGCCCTCCATAAACGTTTGACTCAAGCTTGAAAAAGTTTACAAAATTTGTTTTGAAACTAAGTTTTATAATTAAGTTAACCAGAAATTTCTTAAGTAATGCTAAAGTCCTATATACCGTAGTTCATACTGTATATTATACTGTAAGAGGAGATTACGGTAAGTTGTTGTCGGATAAACTTTTCTAAATTACTTACTTATTGAATGCCCCCTACCCTCCTTTTGGGCACTACTGCACTGCTTATCATAAGTTATGTAATAAATATGGTAACTTGTAAGAGAAAAATGGGAAATGAATTAAGTGTTTAAATTAATTGAAATACTCAAAGATTTGCTCAAAATATGCTTATTTAAAGCTATTTATCATAATATGTATAAATCATTCACAGACAGGCGTTAGAGCTTGGTCAACTTATTAGTAATATTAATTATATTTCATATAAACTTATGGAGTATAACACACGAATCAATTTTTATTTAAAATCAGTAACACCTGTCTGTGAATGATTTAATCTTATGAGTCAATGCACTGAATTATAGTACAGTATTAAAGACTTTAACCATACTTAGTTTTAAACTTAGTTTAGAACAGGGTATTTGGGCTAAAAAATGTAGGACTGGACTCGATTTTTGAATAACTCCCCCTATTCTCATCCGGTTTTCTCCCATTAGTCTGAATACTGATGCAAACTCTGGTTTAGAATGTATAACAATAATAGAATACTGTATAACTTAGAATATAAGTTACGCAAGTACAATTTGTAATTGTCATAGAATTTGCACTAAAAATATTTGCAGCTTGTGATAATTAAAGGTTTAACCAATAAGTACACAAAAGTGCTTAATCATACACTTCCTAATTAGATATGAGCCTATGTTTTCACTTAAGACATAATTATCAGCTAAAAAAATATAACTTTATTGCCATTTATTGCAGGACTTTATGTTTTTCGAGAAAAGTGGTAATAAGGAGAGCGACAGAATCGGTATGTTTTAAGTATTCAAAGGAATCTCGTTTTTGCTATATATTACTGCTTAACAATCTATGAATGGATGCATTTGTCACACAAACACAACTCTATTTTCATAAACATTTAATTGTTTTTAAGAATCTCTTGATCCAAATATAAACTAAAAATATTCAGTTTTAAGATTTCGTTTTATTTCAAGAATCCTATGGTTGAGTAAAACACAAATATTTATACTTTATTTTGTAATATGTTCTAAAAATAAACAAAACAAAAAACAGTTTCACAAGTAAAATACATTTATAACAAGATCTGTTAATATTCTCAATGGTAAATAATTTATATTATTATTTTGTTTTCCCTGCAAACGCTTATTTTTTGTAACACTCTTTAAAACCAAAAATTTTTTCAAGTGAATTATTTATAACAATTTTCATTTTTAACTGTGCTTTAAGATCAGTAATATATTTATTCCTAGAATAATTAATAAATCCAAATTGTCGAATATAATATTATACTTATATTATTTAATACAACATTGAATCTAAGTTCTATAATTATACTACAATTAATATCCTGAATTACAATTTTGATGTTTAAATATTACAAATGCAATTGTTTTCATTGCTTGAACATTAATTAATTTATATTATAACTTTAATGTTAATCACTTTAAAATGTTGTTTGAATAATGCAAGAATTGTTATGCGAATATTATTACACACAAGCACAAATTGTATTTTAAATCTCATTTTAACCATATTTAATGTAACAATATAAGTATTTTAATGATAAACTTGCCTTTAAATGATAGTTGTTTTAATTATAACTTACTGTTCGTTGCATTCAATGTCAAACACTTGAGACATTATGTAATACTACGGTATATCTCTTATCTGATATAAGTATTGAATTGTTTAACGCTTTACTGTTAATGCAAACAAATTGTATAATTATTAAAATCACTTATTTATGAGAATGACTTGTAGTATGAAGTGAAGGTTTGCTTCAAATATAAGTCAGAAATTTCTAAAATAAATATTTTATTAAGAATTTTCAAAGCAATCAAATGATTGTTTTAATGAAGAATTAAAAACATATTGACGATTGATGTCTAATCTATAAATCTATAAATTATTACATTTGAATAACATTAACAGATATAATGATTTTATTAATCAATTAAAAGTTAAAAATATATTAATTTACAAATCAATGAAAATAGCGGTCAATCCCTGCTTTGATAGAAGAGTATATATCCGGATTCACTTGTCTTTTGTGTATCACTGGGCAGTCCATAGAAGTCTTCGATGGCTGAGGCGTCGATTTTGTCCACCAAATCGTCGTCGAAGAGCAGCCAAAAGCCGAAAGACTTAACAATACTTATATAATGGCCGCGATTGGGTCCACTGCCGCAATGTATGACAACCGCCACGAGATCATAGAGTTTGTCATCTGATTCGACGTTTGATGTCTTGTTGAAGAGCCGTAACTCCAATGGAAACACCACTCTATAGGAGAGCTTTGTGTGTCTGTTCTGGGATTCGGTGTATTTGAATCGTTTGAGATGAAGGGCTAAAATCATGGGAAGCTTTTTAATCCGCATCCGCTTCTGTGCCTCCTGTTTGGAGCAGCAGTTCTCGCAGTAGTACTTATGCTCTGAACTCAATGTCTCGGTATTACTGAACACTCGCAGACAGTGTGTGATTGAAGTGTTTTGGTCCACATCTACACTCAGGTCCAGAAAGTCCTCGTCTTTGGACGACAGCGACTCGCAGTTCAGACAACGCGTCTCATTGGTCAGCGTTCCCTGAAATATGTCGCGAACCCAACACTGGTTCGCATTGGGGTTGGGGTTGGGGTTGGCGTGAGGGTTGGGGTTAGGGTTGTGGGCGTTGGTGTTGGCGGTGGAGGCGTCGGGCGCCTGCAGGAGGTCTGCGATGGTGTTGAGCAGATAGTTGAGGAACTCGTGGGCGTCCTGTTGCATGTAATTGTCAAACACCTCGTTCTCCTTACGCAGGCGTCCGATGAACTTCTTGGGCGCAACGGTTCCCGTCTTCTTCTTCTGAGTGGCGATATTGTGGAACAGATCGGCCAGACATGTGAGTAGAGTCTCGCGGGTCTGCCTCTTGTTGCGGGCCTTGTATTCGAGGACTTTGTCTCTGAATGGTCTGCAGAAGTAGAGGGCCTGGAGGACAGAGTTGCAGTAACAGGTGTTCCCGAAGTTCACTAAACCGAAGTAATGCTCGTTTACTGCCCATTCACTCGATCCCATCTCCTTCTCCAACTGAGACGCGTTCGCACCCATCGCTCACACCTTCGATGAGATCACTGATCACTGGTCACAGTCACCACCACTTCCTACAGACCTAATCCACTCAACAGACCGACGATTCACTCGTCAATTGAATTCATTTGTAAATCACTTTCCGTTCAATGAATCACTCAATCGATTGAGTATTGCTTTCAACGACGAGTCAAATGTTTATTATTTGCACGAACCGTGCAATCCATCCATTATGACACCAAACAGGGGTTGCGCTCAACAGTCAACACCCATTGCAACACACATTCACTCTTTCATTGCTTTTAATGTTAACCATTCATACATTCATAGTCGTCATAAAGTGTAATCAAAGTGTCTATTAATCTATATTTAATTCAATTGCTGTTAAATTTAATATTAGAGTTCATTTTAAGTGTCAATTGATTTATTAAACACGTATTAAATGTATGGCTGATGTCATACAACAAATATTATGGCACTATATGTGAGACACTATGTATGATGTGTTGAGGAGTACAGTATAATTAAGTACTGCGCTCTTCAATAACCCTGTAATAGACGTAAGGCTTGCGTTAAACTGCATTCAATTGAATCACATCATAGCCTACAATAAACATCATTTATACATACATTGAATTAAATTCAAACATAACAGCATTGATAACTCGCATATTTTGATTATTAAATCAACAACACGTTGGAAACGATTAGATAAAGGTTTGAAATTGAGGGCAAATACTTGATAATGAATGGTATGAATGAGTGGTAATGTATGGAGAGTTTGATTGTATGTAAAAATAGTTGAAATATTTGTAGCGATGATTGAGAGTCGCATTGAATGCATGTATTAATAGACTCATAGACTCGACGCTAAGCTATGGTTTGATTCAAAAAAATCCGTTTTTATCACAATTTTTATTTCAATTTCATCTCATTTTTTGTTTATTTTTTATTATTTAATTGTTTTTCATTAGTTTATCGTTTACTCAATATATGAATTGTTTGAATACCAGTAATATATGATTGAATCTAAACCTAAACTGAAATGAATAACAAAAATATGACAATCAATGGAAACAATAATAATAACAATGTTTTGCAAACAATGACCACTTATTTGACTCCTTTGGGCTCAAAGTCGACCTCAAGTAATGATTTGCCATCAGTTGGTTGACCATTGATTGTATGACTGATACTATGTTTGCATTTGTTTCAGACAATAGCGTCAAACAGAGCTCATCGGGCAGTGAGACGGATGTGTCGACCTCGACGTCCACCGAAAACCTGTCGCCCGAAGAGCGGTATGTCCTCCGCAGTGGTGTCCGACAGGAACCTCAGGGCGAGGAGACAATGCTGTCCATCGGGTCCGGTGTGGACGCCATGTCTCTCAACAATACTCTTATCATTCATCACAACAAATCCATCGATGGTTTGCATTACCCGTCAGTTTCGCCACTCCTTTACGGCCACAGAATTAATAACCAAATCAATGATAACAACATTCATATCAACAATAATCTGAATAATTGTAATAACAATCTAAACGATGCGACAAATAAAGTGCAATCAATGGGTGCCATGACTTCAGCGCAATTGGGATCTCTGCTGCCGTCGAGTAATAAATTGAATTCACATATGAATGTCAATAATGTGTTGATTCGCAACAAATCGCCGCCTGATCTCCAGTTAAGTCCCACCCGAACCTCCAGTTACGAGTCGGTGCCCTCCAGTCCCAACTCATTCAACAAAGCACTTCTGCAACACTTCCAACTCAACACTGGAGTCGATAACACGTCGGGACTCCAGCAGCCAATGCTCACCAATTACTTGAACTCTTTGTCCAATCATTGGAAAGTTGGCGACAATTGTCTCAATAATTACGATATATTTAAGCATAACTTACATCTGCCGCCACCTCCGGAGTACGAGCGCCAGTGGAATAACTCGAGTCCCAACTCTGTGTCCACCTCTGCCTCCAACTCAACGACACCTGAATCTAAATCAGTGGAACGACTGCCCACTTGTCGATCACATCCAGACCTCTTGAAATTCGACGACGAAATTGCTATTAAAGACTCGAAATGTGATGAAATGAATCCCAAATACAATATGATTGATATGTTGAGCGCTGAGAACGCGGCCCTCAAGACTGAGTTAGATCTCTATTACAAGAAAGTTCTTAAACTTCAAAAAGTATGTCATAAATGTTGTGACAACTGTCTGCTAATGAGACGACCATTGCTTTTACAGTTTGAACTCGAGATCCAAAAAGTGCATCAATCGCACGAAGACCTCATGAGATCATCGGAAAAGAAAGAGAGGTTAGAGCGCGCCATAAGATATAAGTTGGAAATTGATTCGCGAAGACTTCACGAACAGAACAGAGATCTGAAAAGTATTGAACACATTGTGTGGTAATTAATATAATGTGATTACAAGTATTGTTTCGCTTTCAGACCAATTGGACACCGCTTTAAGTCATATTTCGAAACGACCGGTAATTAAATAGCAAATAATTTGCGAAATGAAATGAAATTAAGTATAGATTTTGTGTAAACAGATCAGCGACTCCTTAGACGACGGAGAACTCAAAAAAGAAATCGGAAAAAGAGATGTTCTCATCGCACAACTGCTCTCTCAAAGTAGGCTTATTTGGCATTTGGTTTGTTATCATCGAAATTAAACCATTATTTATGTGTAATATTTTAGACAAAGAACTTCTGAATGAGAAAGAAAGACAAGAAATTGAATTACAGGCACAGAGATTGACACTTCAGGAGCAGCGCAATCATATCGACATTTTGGACAATGCATTGATGAGCACTCAGAACAATGTCATCAAATTGGAGACTGAGGTTTGATGGGATACACTGATACTGATATCGCCGTCATTTGAAATATTTCTGAAAAATGTTTAACTTGATTACAAATAGTGTCGCAAAAAGCAGGCCTACGAGGAAAGGGCTACACATTTGCAGAAAGCATTGTCTAATCTGCAGTTAGCCAGCGATCGGAGGTTAACGATGGAAAAGAGAGTTAGAACTCATTTAGAGAAAGAGATCGAAAGCTTGAAAAAACAGCAGCAGTCGGGCGGACAGAACGACGGACTCAACTCAGACTCAAATGTCGAGGACATGAAGAAAGTTATTCGCGATTACGAAGAAAAGATCATTTCATTGGAAGCAGAGGTGACGAAATGGGAACAAAGATATCTCGAAGAAAGCACTCTAAGGTCTATCGAAGTGAGCGCTGCGTCGGTTCCGAAGTAAGTATTTATTGCAATGAATGACAGCAAACAAAGTCTCAAATCTGTTTCACATGTGCAGAGACGCCAAAATCGCGTATTTGACATCACGTATAGGTATGTGTCTGACATCACTTAAATCCATAACAATTAGTAAATTTCCATTTATATAATCACTGTATTAGAGCGCACTTCACAGGAGAGTGAGAAACTGATTGCTGAGTCACGCAGTGAACGGCTCCGACACATGGATGAGCTGCACGTCGCCAACAAGAAGAACGCGGAGTTCGAGGGACGCGTCAAAGACATGGAGTCGAAACTGGCAGAGAAAGAGGCTATGATTAAAGTGTTGCGCCAACACTCCAGAGACAAAGACGTGGTGTTGCAGAAGACGGTGTTCGCTCAGAGGGCGCCCAACAGACACGGCCGCTCGGCCAGCACTATGGGTCTCACCTCGAGCTCCGGTTCACACACTTCCTGTCAGTCCAGTAGCGGAATGTCGACCATTAGGACGACTAGAGAGGAGTTAACGCATAGTAACAGTCAATCAAATGACACGAATTCTCAGAGCGGATCCAACGATACGAACAAATTGAATCTCGAAGAACAACTCAAACAATTGGATTCTCGACTCACGAACAAAGTCTGTTAACAATTGACTCAATGAATGATTGACTAATGATTTGATTGTCTCGTTTAGGACTCGATTATAAGAGCCCTTCGATCAGAAAAGGAACGCTTTCCCAATCATTACAACAATAATTGGAGGCTTTAGTGATTAGACATATGAACCAAATTTATCTATTTATATACAATATGTG